TCTTTTATAAAGGAACTACATTGAGTCGTTCGCTGGCGACCAGGTAGCTCAATCGGCTATACTGAGTCGTTCGCTGGCGACCAGGTAGCTCAATCGGCTACACTGAGTCGTTCGCCGGCGACCAGGTAGCTCAATCGGCTACACTGAGTCGTTCGCTGGCGACCAGGTAGCTCAATCGGCTACACTGAGTCGTTCACTGTCGACCAGGTAGCTCAATCGGCTACACTGATTCGTTCACTGGCGACCAGGTAGCTCAATCAGCTACACTGATTCGATCACTGGCGACCAGGTAGCTCAATCGGCTACACTGAGTCGTTCACTGGCGACCAGGTAGATCAATCGGCTACACTGAGTTGTTAACTGGCGACCAGGTAGCTCAATCGGCTACACTGAGTCGTTCACTGGCGACCAGGTAGCTCAATCGGCTCAGTTTTTGTTTAGAGTTTGGAGGCCCTAAGTTCGTATCCCGGTCTGGCCATGCATATCTCGTTCCTGTTACAATTCTATCAGAACATTTGACTTTTTTCTCTTTATGAACTTTTTTTCTTTTTAATTTAAGTAACTCCTTAGTTGTCTTATTGAGAACCAGGTAGTTTTTTGTCATGTCTCTCATTGTATTATGGGGTAATAACTGTTGGGTTATTGATTGGGATATTAGAAATATTTCAACATTGTTTGTTTTTTTTTTATTATTTGATGTTCCCAACAGTTTCCCACTATAAAGTCATAATGAGCAGGAAGAGCACCGGGTTCCGGTCCCGCCCTTTATGAATGTTTCCCTTGATAATATGAAAACAGTTGATATCCTCCCAATAAACACGGAATAGGAAATATATCTTTCTAAATAGCCAAATCATACAAAACCTACAACCATACTATTGACTCAAATGTATATAACCTGAACCATAGAAAAGGGCGCACACCTGAAAATGCACTAAAAATTAGATGAATTCAGACTTAAACATATTTTTGCAAAGTATTATTAAACGTATTATTAGGATAGAAAGGGTCTCACTAGATCACTGGCAATTTTTTTCGTAAGTTAAGGATGCCAAATGTGTTGCAGGCATGTCGAAAAGGTAAGATAAATATATATGGATAGCAGTCGGAATATTATAAATATCTCTGTTCGACCGGAACCCTCTTTCAGCCTTAATGTGGCAAGATCGACTATCTATAAAATGTTTCCTTAGCCCAAAGCTCCATTCAACCGATCAGATGAACCCTTCAATATCACCGGCAGTGATTGGGATCTTGTACGTTATCAACGTACCGTGATTTGTTTAATTCCATGCACAGTTGTTGTAAATGAATACAGTTAAAAAATAAATTTAAAAAAAATACAGACTCAAATAGTCATGAATTAAAAAATAAATGAAAATAATGTTTAACTGACACAAAATAATAGCATGATATTGTTAACTTATATGAATTTTAGGATATGGAACAACGCAAGATGGATAAACGAAAATCTAGACTAAACTTCAAGTAAAATAATCAAAATTACAGTATACTTGAATTTCAACAAAATCATGACTTAAACTTAAAATGACTAAAACTATGACAAAATGTGAACATTACAAAAATTAACATGGAGAAACTTGACAAAATTAAATGAGATTAAGACTGCCGTGTAAGCGTCTTCATCGACGATATCCTGACATCGAGAGCTCGGATAGTGACAACAAAATCACAAAGCACTCTAATGAGTATAATAAAAACATCGACCTAGATATCACACAAGGACATAACATATTTACATGCGAAATCCTGATCAGGACGATTGAACTTATGCCTATTCTTCATAGACCTAATTAAATATAATCTAGAATATGGATATGCTGAAACATAACCATAGCCAAATAAAAACTGAAATAGATACGAAACAATAGTTTAACATATACGATTAAAGGCAGAGGAAATAAAACGTTGACTAAAGTAAAGATAGAGACAGAGACACAGATCAAATAAGATAAAAAACGAATTAATGAAAAAAATACTTAAATACAGTTTATTAAACTGATGTTCGCATGAACTAAAGCATTTTTGTTTTAACGAGGGAAGTAAAAAAATAGCACACTAAAATATAGGCATTAGGTAGGCTTAGCATAATTTAACAAAGATATAGATAACAATGAAATGTACATTAAACCGCAGACTACATATGTCTCAAACGTACGCAGAGGCGATATATATAAATAGCCCTAACATAAGCGTAGTCCATATACCTGTCAGTAAGAAAGCATTAGGTGTCACTAAAGACACACGCGCAGGCGTGATTGTTTACATGTTTTGAGACCAGAAATAGAAACGGTGTATGGTAACAAACATGTTTACTGCCTGAGGGATGCGTGTAAAGACACACTGTGACTTATGTTAGTATATATACTAAGGTGAACATTTGTCTCACGACTAACGAGTTCCACGCGTGTTCTTATTGGCAAGTGTGCTTATTTTGTGAATCATGACCTTTGTGAAATCTTAGGTTTATAATCCGTTGTTGTTTTAAGAATGGTGCATACATGTATTAACGATGAACGAAAATTTTAGTTAGATTTTTTTTTTTGTATATCAATATAACATGATTAAATTAAATTCAAATTATTAATTTAAAATGTATCTTAAATTAATGACTACAGTTGTATATGAATCATCATCATGTATTAGCATTGATTATTCACTGTATATCAAATCAATGCAAGTAAGCTTGCCTTTAAAAGGCACAAAAAATAATATTTGATAACAAAAGAAGCAAAACAAGAAAACACAAAAAACATACCTTAACATTGCTGAAAGAAGTTGAAAGAAGTTGTCATCTGATATAAGAAACAAGTTGGGAAAAAAGCTGTATAATATGTATTCATATGTTTGATATTTAGGAAATATTTTAATTGAAGATATTGTAAATCATCCCATCTTAATGATTTTTAAGTAAATTTACGTTGAACTAGTCAAATTGGATAATAGGATGTTTTTCTCAGATTTGACGGAACTATTGTACTAGCTGACATCAATATAGCATCTAGGTCATAAAATGATCTAGGTCATAGCAATCATCTAGGTCATAGGAATAATCTGGGTCATAGGAATAATCTAGGTCATAAAATAATCTACACTGTAGCAATGTTTTCAATTCTGAATGTCGTAGTGCCGATAATAAACTTAATAGGCCTTTTTTATATAAGATATTTAGGAAAACCACTAGTGGTGATTGATATCAGTCATGCATCCGTTAAGATGATTGTAGGGCATTTTATTATATTACGTCTTTAGAGGACTCCTTTAGGATAACAGGGACCAAAAGAGTGGCAATCCATATTGGTGTAAACTACTATTAAAGGCATTCATTAATACACGTGTGTGTTGTGGTATTTATTGAAAATGGTCCAGTAAGGGAAGTATACCGCATAGAAGTATTAAACTACCCTTTTGTTCTGTAAAAAGGTCCTGCAATTTTCAAAAGGATCGTTATCAGAATGTACGATTATATTTGGTATAAAATGTTATTAGACAAGAGATATATGCCATAGGAGATATCAATTGAGCTCAAACATCGTTAATACAGTCATTATGTAGACCAATTTTGCAAAACCGTAGAAAAACTGACTTTTTTATAAATATCTTTGAAATCTACAAGTAGACGTATTCTATTGTTTTTATATACTTATTTATGTTCCACGTGCCAATTACTGATTTGATTTACACACGAACTAACGACAACTCACCAGTGACTGACCGACAAAAAAATAATACAAATATGTGTCTGAAAATAGTCACTGACATCAAATGTCGAACCCATACCTACCTGTTCATCAAGGTTCAAACCTTGTCGATCTTTTTAGACGAAGGTCGAGGTGGGCTGGCCTACTATATCATACAATTGTAAAAAGGAAAACATATGATCTCAACCGTTTCGTTTATTTTCATTGCGTTTCAATTTTGTTTTTGCTAGATATACCAACCACGTCCGTCCGTTTCCCGACCAGATTACTAAAATAATGTCGAACATAAAATTTAAAGATATAACCGAAAGAAATGACCGAATTTAAAAACAAAAAGGTTCGTATATACTTGATTAATGAGTAACATTAATTTGAATATCTAAAGGTTATATAAATATTGCTATCAAGAAGTTTCTAGTGAAAAGATATTTTATTACCCTATATGGTAAGAATAATTTCCATAGGAGGAAATCAGAGATGAGAAAATCACGAAAACAACAAACAAAGTGGATTTCGTTAACAATGACAGTTTTATGACTAGATTAACATATTATCCTAACTAAACGTGGTATACCATACCAAGGTTTGATGTAACAAAACAGTTAATTGAGAGTGTACGCCAAATACAGACAGGGGTACTTATATATCATGGGAATAACAACGTTATATCCCAAATGGGTTGACAGGAATCCGTGTTGCTGTCCCCAATTACGTGACCAAGTGGCAGCTAGTGGACACACAGAATGGCCGTTTAAACCACATTAATGTTAAGATTATTTATTAAGGTTTTGGTATAGGCGTTATTATTTTGCTTTAAATTATTAAGTATTAGACACGTTAACCCTTGTCGTTGCTATAACCGGTGTTAGTGGTGACCGGTACGTGTTTCATATTTGCTCGTGTGAGGTTCAATAAGGGGTATTTTTTATTTTATTTTTTATTTATAAACAAAAATAAAAAACGTATCTTGTATGCTGATGAATAATGTATTTTTTTCATGATAATAATCACCTCAATTAATCGAGTTTATAAGTATTATGAATTGTGAAATGTACACTTTGTATTATAATAACATTTTTGTATTTTCTTTTTTTCTAAATCATCCTTTTTATGTCCTCTACTAATGTGCGTAATTAATTGTTTAATTAATATAAAGCTAGCCGCGCAGAAGGCTCGCAAAACCCGGACAATAATGTGTAACTATGAGATATGTCAACCGTGCTCGGACGGTGATATATGTGTGCGCCGTGGTCGGTCATATAAAAGAGGAGTCTCCCTGACCATCCGCGTCAGTCCTCCACACGAACTCCACGGCACGCTGATCGCCCATTCCTTTTAGACGCATATACTGGAAAAATGAGGGAGTTTATTCTTTTAATCGTTGTTTCAGGAATCCTGTGTAAGTATTTCATTTTTTTTTATTTATTTTTTTTCAATTATAGTTTTCGAATGGGATATTGCTCATAAAGGTAAAGTTTATCAATTGTGCTAAACTTTTAATAATAACACAAATTCCATATGCCTTAACAGATATACCTTTTTATCGAAAGCTTAAACAAATATTGATGATCTACAACTACACCTTTTCTCCAAAGGTAAAATTCTATTTCACTATTATCTTTTCTAAAATGATTTTAAGATGCAAAATATTAACAAAACTTTATTATTTCGGGCATCATATCTAAATACGCGAATATTTTGAAATGAATTTCAATAATATTTATTTTCTTTCTAATTTATAACAGGATTAAAACGATAACTTATCTTTTCTGGATTCTAAGGTAATCATTAATTGTGTTTACCTTTGTAGCAGAATTTATTCTTAAGATAGATCTTTAATTATTTGGTTTGGATAAATCTGCTACCGGCAAAATGTTAGAAAATATTCGCTTAATTTATATCACATGCTTTAAATTCCCCTGGATATAGTTTTATACTTAACGTTGTTATGTCTTCGGAGGAAGTTGCTGTCATACCATGCGCCAAGAGATATTTACGCATCTAGGATTTTTTTTTGTCCGCTGTGCGGTCACTCACAGGAAAATAAATGAAATGTCAATTTATCTGTTTTTTGCTTTTTAAATGATCCCTTTTTAACACAAATTGTTTAACTTACGTGGGTATATCTTATCTGACTGATTCATACACATGCACTTTACGTGTGATCAAATTTAACTGTTGCAAATTATTTCTTAGTATTTATCATTGCTCTATTTAGCGATTAGGTATTTCAATTTTTAATGTAACGAACATCAAGTTATGTTTTTTTTTATTATGAAATTACAGATGCCAACGCCCAAATGCCTTCCGGCATGGGTGCGGCGGGCATGGGTGCGGCTGGTATGGGCGGGGCCGGTATGGTCGGGGCCGGTTTGGGTAGAGGAATGATGGCAATGGGAGCAGCCGGGGCTGCTGGAGGAATGGACATGAAAAAAATGCTTAGGACCCGTGTTATGATGAATATGATCCAGAAAACAGGAAAGGGGTCTTTCTTCCAGAACATGATGCATGTGAGAACTTTTTGTGAATCTGGAGATTTCGTCATGGGTGAGGGAATCGCTGGTGTCATGATGGCTGACTGTAACAGGATGATGGGGTTAAAATGTATGAAAAGATCAACGGAAAAATATGGCATGCCAACCTTCCTTAAATGTCAACCGAACGGTTTATGCTGCTTTGATGGTATCCGAGAAAAATTATTAGCCACCTCTTTTGCTGCTCAGAAATAAATAGTAAGTTCTTAAAGAATTGTTTCATAGTGTGGATCAATTTCAGTATGTTAGCATGTTCGCCTTAATTTCAGTCTGTCGCATATATTTACAGATAGTCTGGTATAATTTGAAATGTGTGTGCAAAGCAATGTTATTGAATTGAAGAAAACTGGCAATTAATTATGAATGTATAGGTCGATCTAACGAGGCGAAAGCTAAAATTGATTATCTGCACATAACATGATTTATTATCACTAATTTACATTATTATTGATTTTGTAAATGAAGTCATATATAAAGTTTATGTACAATGATTGTGATATAATTTACAATTTACTTGATTAATTTCATTTCGTAGATAACGTAGTGTTATTTTTGTTACCTTTAATTTGTTCCAGTAAGTAACATTTCCCCATGTGTTAATTCAGAAGTCTTCCTTACATTGTGATATTGCATTTTGCTATCCCACAATTAACCTCATTAGATTAATACCGATAAACACATTAAGAATTATGAAATGATGGGATTAAATATAAACAAAAACATTCAACTGGTTTCTGGTGGCTATTTGATGTTTTTAGCATGATATTTGATTAAGCGAAATTTAAACAACGCACATCTTTTAAAGTATATGTACTTTTGACCATTTTGGATTTCAATCATTTCGGCCCCTAGCATAACCAATTAGTCCAAGGTAAATGAAACTGCTTCATGATTCAATGAAGCTCATCTTTGGTATTATGTGTATAGCGTGATCATGCCATGTTAAAATGCAATATTGTTATACACATTGATTATTTTGAGTCATTGATAGACGAAGGTTCATTCTGTATACTGGAAAAATTTCGCTTAAGTTTAATTTTCGCCTTTTTCGCCCTCCGTAATGGGCAAATTTATTACAGCAAATATTTGTAATCAACATAGTGTACATAATAATTAAATGTGAAGGGCAATTTCAATATTGGACGCAAATGGATTTTAATGCAAATGGCGAAAACTATATGTAGCGAGAAAACAATAAATTAGTTTAGACTTTTTTTTATTATCGGTATAGTCATAATATCAGTAATTCAAACATGCTATACATATAAGATTCGAAAACAAGTACAAAATACTGAAACGACGATTTGACGGCACTGACGAATATTATGCATATAGATGATAGAAGGGAAAGAGGTGCGAAAGGGTTTAAAGAAAGTATTGTTGGGGGTAAAATATATAGGGGAGTACATTACAGTAGATTGAATACCATGTAATGTCACCATCTCCTCAATAGCATTGCACCTCGACATGTTAACGCATACCTCGCTACGTGCGATGTCGATAGAAAGAAGACAGAAAGTAATTAAATGATTACTGTCTTTTCCATTCAGAGGACTAACATCGATTTTAAATACCAGACTCGGTATATTAATCTGCAACCAGGTAAATTAATACTGACAATCATTTTAAACATGATTACAAACAGATATCATAAATCTTTATTCAATTTTGCTAAAATTGTTTTCAATAATTAAACTGCAATTGTGAATAGAATTTGTTTTCCTATTCAAATGTCATTTTTTACCTAGTTTCGTCAATGGTGGAAATTTTGTTTTAAATTTTGATACGTTTACATTTTTCTTATTTTTTTTCCAGAAGGTCCAATTGAAAGATATTTCCAAAAGCTTATCTGTCATCATCACCATTACAAACCACAGGAGCGGCACGTGTTGTTTTCTCTATGACGTCATTTCCTTTATTTACATGCCTTTCGCAAAATTTATATAAGTATTCATCTAATGGGACCCCAAGGTCATTTCCAGTAAACATTAAATTTTGTTGAATTTTAATGAGGTGTTTCTTGTCTTTTAAATTTTGTATTGTTCATAGACCGGAAGTGCATTCGTCCTGTGGTAGATCTAATTCAATTAATGGATTCATGTGGGATGAATATCTCGTTATTGAAATGATACCGATGTATCACAATTAATACCTTTCATACATCTATATCCCTCCTCATTTGACGTTTTAATTAATGTTCAACAATTGTCAAAAGTTATCTTTTTCTATCTATAACACACTAAATTATTTACAAATACGAAAACTATCACAGTGGGTGATGGATAAATTGCATAATCTTTTAACAAAATGTTAAATGCGTCATGCCTGACACTAGGCTGTGCGCCAATTTTAAATGGGCTACTTAACGAAGTTCCGATGGGTTTGTTTGCTATCATAAAATTGCCTACAAAATGTTATAGCGTGAGAAGTTTGGTAATATTTTAAAAAATGTGTCAACAAAACCATTATTTGAACTACAAAACGATAAACTAGGGCAAATATTAAACATAGGAAGAATTTATATTGGGACCCCTGAAATACTAAAAGGATAATAAGACAAGTGGTTCCGTAAGGGTTAGTTCCAGCTTCACTGATGTCGTCTGCCATGCAAATTTAAGTCAAACCCAAGAAGTGGCGCGTACTCACATCGACACTCGGGTAGTGACAACAAATCCACAAGACACGTTTATAAGCAAAATAAAAAATATCGACTTTTATGAAACACAAAGACATAACTCGAAACTAGGGCAAAGTGTGAACAAATGAAAGATTCACAAAGAGATTCACAAAAAGTACAATAATAAGAGCAGGTGTTCCGGAAGAGTAACCGCCTTCTGTTCCATCGACAATTCCTGATATGTAAATGTACGTAAAATCCCTTACTAGACACGACAACCGCCTAGTGACAACGAAACAGCAACGCACACGTATGAACATAATCAAACATATAAAGCATTCGTATTAAACAAAATGATATAAAAAATACATTTCATGCAATCGTTCATTACCTTGATTTATAATAGCAATCATAAAGTGAAACCCTTTAATGATGTGCGATAGCTACAAGTGTACCTGTACGTCTGCAACATCTATTCCGTTTATGCTTACATTTCTGTTTTACATTTAAAAAACCCCATTAAGGTTAGTGTTTTTACCTACAATTCAAACTCTTGTTGCTATCGGTGAGGCAAGGTCAACAACTAAAATAGCAACAGAAGAACAGCCGACGTTTGTGAAGTTTGCCACAATTTTCATTTGTTTTTGTTTTTAAGAAACTATATTAAATAACATTCGATTTAAATGCAGGGTAACGTTTTAAATAATGTTTTGAAGAACTATTTACCGATCGCGTAGTTCTACAATCGTAGCAGTAGTACTTCGGTAAAGTATTCATACAATGTAAATAACAGTTGCAGGAAGGCTCTCATAAATTCCTTCATAGATAAAATATAGTGGTGAATTATAACACAAAATGTAAATATAGTAAGTTACTCATCACCTCCATTGGAACGAATGAAATTTATCGCTGTTGAAATCTTAACATCAGTCAAAGATAAACATTTTCTCTCACCTTGTTGATTTTTTTTACATACTTACTAATAAATACTGTTATTTTGTATATGCGATACAACAGTTGCTCTTAACTCATATCAGCCCTCTCCGTATCAGCCCGCAAAACCCAAATCGCACCCCTTTTTATGATGTTTTTCGTTTTTCAATATTTCAAAAGAAAAACAGATCATAAGACAGTAGATCTATCCGTATTTTATAAGTAAGTATGTAATAAACAGAATAAATTGTGCCCTTTTCCATATCACACCCAGTATCAACCCTCGACCAATATAAGCCCTCGGATGATATTTGAGTCTCGGGTTGATAATGGGTGCGATATGGAAAAAGGCATGTATTATTCTCTATGTATCATATTGTATCATATATATATTGCAATGTTGACGTTATCGTAAATGTGACGTCATACGATTGTTATGACTCGCGAATTCTTAGTAGAGACAATGATTCCTTCCACACTTTACAGATGCATTCCAGCTTTGCTTTGGTATATATCATGTCTTTTCCTACACGAGGGAAACGCAACTCACACATGCTAATATAACAAACCCATCAACATGACTTCACCACTTTCACCAAAGAAGTGTCGACACTCTTTCCAAGTGCCGTTGATGATAGTGCGGTTCACTGTGTTCACATTTATAACTTTTTGATGATGGTAATCGTAGGTATTAATTGATTCTTTAAATCAAGGTGAAGTAGAGAGACAGAAAAAAATTAGACCTTCGGGACAAAACTTTTCGAAGTTGACAACGAGGCTGTTGCCCTCGGATTGTCTTTAATTGTTTGTCTACAGTACAAAGTGGAAGAAGATCGTGGACACACTTCTCCAAGGTATGAGGAATTATAAGTCTCGATGTTTCATTGGTATACAATGAATAAAGTGAACTGGGTAAAACATTATTAATATAATATATACTGGTGATCTATTGATCAGCTACGATTTCGGGTAGATAAGATTGGAACATTTTACCAAATACCAATAAGTAAACAGACAAAGAGAAGAAAAAGAAAACAGAGTTAATGTGTATAATACTACATACCAATTCTGACGTGCGAATGTCAATTCAAAATGTCCATTCTGGTGGATCTCCGACAGTTCTCTAAGAGTTGACATAAATGTTATAGACACCGTTTAATCTTATCTAAGATTCAACTGACAATATGTGTATGTCTTACTTGAGTGTTATCATTTGTTGAAATAGAGTTAATGTAGTGAAAAAGAATGAGTACAATAACCGAGCCGCAATCCCAATTCGGGATTACTTCACTCCTAGAGGCAACATTATGTTAGCACTGAATTGGAAGGTATTATGCTATTTAGTGTATCGGATAGGGAATTTAGATTACTTTAGTAACTAAAAATGAAATTCACAATTCGACAAAATCTGTTCAGTTGTATTTTCATCATTGAATTTTAAAGAAGAGGTATTTTACCGCTGTACCTACCCATCCAGGAATAAAATATTTAGCATTCAAAGAAAATCTAAGTTGTTGTAACATTACTGCAAATATGTATGGATTTTGACAATTGAAACATCCAAGGATTAGTTTGATAAATTTATGTGAAGGAAAGCTTTGTATTGATTTTTTTTAGATAAAGTGTGATAAAGTATTTGGAGCAAAAATAATATATAACGTTCATTCAACTTTAGTCCGACTTATCTCCCTTGTAATGTTCATGAAACTCAAACCGTTTTAAGGGCTGATGATAAATGTTGGAAACAGATGGGAATACATATTCGAAAAACACTTGCTGTCAACCAAAATAAGATGCTGGTAACGAAAATGGCTTTAAGGTAAAAATAATGTTGATATTTTTCTACTTTATATATACTTAACCTACTAATCAGTGAGCAGAGTTAAAAGTGAAAAAGACAATATGCATTTCTTAATGTCATATCACAAAAGCGCTGTTGTTTTCTTATTGAACCGTCGTAAACAGTATTGCTTGTGATAACAAATGAGTAAATTAATTAGCAAATGTGTGTGCTATTGGGCTCTCGAAGTTGCACTCCCGGGTTGAATACGTTTCATTCATGCTACACACATGTGCAAGATATTACACCATGTATTCACCTTTCTCGTGGAATAAAACTGTTATCAAATAAGAAACTAGGATGGTCTTTTCAATTGGACACGTAAAACAAATAGCTTTCTTATATCAGCTGTTTACTGTCCAATGGTTTGAACGATAAATTGAGTTGTTGATTGATAAAATGGTTGTTTGATTTTTAACCGTCATTACACATGCAGTGCGGTTCATGGAAAAAAGACTACCACAGCGTCAAATCACAAGAGCTCACAATCAATTAGAAAAATGTCAACAGAACCGAAGTGACAGCAAAACAAAACAAGAGCCCAATGGGCCTGCATCGCTCACCTGGTATTAATCTCACAACTGTAACCTTAAAAGTGGACTAAAATGAAGTTACAGTCAAAATATCAGTGTCTTGACTTCAAGTCATTCAGAAGAACCTGTTAAACGATTAAAACACATTTGACGCCTGTGACCTTAAAAAGTCAAACATGGACATTAAGTTGAACAAATGTCATAGCCCTTCTTCCCAGAATGCAACTTGCCAAATATCACCACCTTAAACCTTTTGTTTATTGAGAAGATGACTTTTAAAGATTTATACACTATGGAAAAGATGTGACCATGAAAGTATGTCAAGGTCATTCACATCAACAAGCAATCACTCTGTATGCTTTAGTTATTCAGAAGAAGTCGTTTAAATATTTCAGCATATTTTGACCCCTGTGACCTTGAATATGGGCAAAGGTCTTTCATTTGAACAAACTTAGTAGCCCTTTATCCCAGCATGCTACTGACCAAATATCATCAACCTGGACCTTTTGGTTTTACAGGAGAAGTTGTTTAAAGATTTCAACATATTTGACCCCTGTGATCTTGAATATAAGTGAAGGTCATTCATTTGAACAAACTTGGAAGCCTTTTATTCAAGCATGGTTCTGGCCAAATATTAACACCCTATACCTGTTGGTTATTAAGAAGAAATTATTTAAAGGTTTAAACATATTTGACACCCCTGTGACCTTGAACATGGGTGAAAGTAATTCATTTGAACAAACTTGGTAGTGCTTCATCCTAGCATAATATTGGCCAAATATCATCATCCTTGGAAGCATCATCCCAGCATGCTACTGGCCAAATAACATCAGCCTGGGCATCTTGGTTATTCAGAAGAATTTGTTTAAAGTAAAAAGTTGACGTCGGATGGACGCCGGACGGACGACGGACGCCGCACCACGCCATAAGCTCACTTGGCCCTTCACGCCAAGTGAGCTAAAAAGGGAGACAACAGGAATCCGACATATAAAACACGGGGCGAAACCGGGCGAAAAATCAAGACCTCCGGAAAAGGCAAAAATTCCTTACATTTAATGACACCTTTAATGAAACTAGAACATCAATAAATATGGAAATATGGAAATGAATGGATTGTTTGTATCCATCTACATATTATCTTATGAGGCCACTAATGTGTGGCCCCTGCAGAATCGTGGTTTTTCTTTTGTGTCTTGTCAGGCACGGTAATCTAGTGGTAGGACGCTGGACTCGCGACCGAAGAGTCGCCGGCTCGAGTTCCGTCACGGCAATGTGTTGAATCATCGAACAAGATACTTTACTTCGCTTGTTTCAGTCTAATCAGCTGTAAATGCGTACGTGGTTGGGGAGTGCTAGAATTGTTGAATTCTAGTTGTGAACATCACTGGCTGTGTGCTCCCCAGGGAGCTGATAAATAAATTGTTGATAAAGCAGTATATTCACAGTACAAACCTCGAAATATTATTGATTATTGCTAAGGGTACATTATATTAACCAATATATCAGCTTACCCTATTACAACACTCAGGATATGTCTTTAATTATCCCATTTTTGTGTTTTGTCTCTCTTGTCTTTCTAATGTGCCGTTGGTGTTGCCAGGACGCTTAATATCATACCAACAAACAGGATAAACAAGGACGGTCAAGTGTTCAAAAAATCAAAGATAATTAAGATAAAGTTTTAAAACATTTATTTCACAAACCTCGCCCCCAAGATTTACACTTTTTTGTCAGATATTTAATAAGTTTGAGTTAATATGATAGAATAATTATTTTTGCATAACGTTATAATTATTATTCATCATTGTTGGATTCCATTCCAACGTTCTAGTCAACTTGACTAATTAAAAATGTATCTGAATGCTTTTATTCAAACTTTTCAAACCAAAAAATCGGAATAATTAACAGCAGGAAAACTACATAACTGGGAAAATACTACATTATTGAAGACCAGTAATCAGTAGGAGTGTCACAATAGTATTTATTGAAATAATTATTGTCTTTTGGTAAATATAAATAACTTATTGAATCAAATGATTAAATTAACTTATTTGTAGCTACTTCAGCGATTCTTGATGATATCAAGCGAATATTGAATAAAGCGGATGAAGTATTGACACGCCCTCTCCGATAGTCGCTAACTACTCAGCTCCATACGGAAGATATTTACTGAAACGTGCTGATTAAAGTAATCTGAAAATTATATTTAACTGTTTTTCTTCAATTGTACTACAAACGAGTTATCCAAATTGTACCTTGTATAAACATTAATTTTATTCAAAATGTTTTGTGGTTGGTGTTGAGTGAACTATGATCTGAACATCTTCAAAACTCATTATCTTATAACAGACCAGCTTTATGCATTGCCCAATGAATCCAGAGACTGACTTACCGGAAACCAAATAAGCTTAACAGATCTAAATAAAACCAATTAAAGAAAATGACCGTTACGTATTATATAATTGTTTTTTTACAACAATTATGAAGCAAGTTATTTCAACTGATATTAATCAATCTTGTCGGCCCTGATGTTAGCGTGCGTGGGGTATTAATGTGGCAGGACACGAGTGTACTCAGAGGAAACCCACGTATTCAATGTTAAGCTAACCAGGATTATCAGATTAATTTATCATTAATGAATTATGTGTAATTTCCATCTTTTTTTTATTATTAACAAAAATAAATTAGTGTAGTAAATAGTTTGCGTCCCTTTATACCAGCACTGTTCTATATTTTGCTGTTAGGGATGCATGCAAACGTTAATCAATGGACATTTTCTTGAGTCCTTCTGCCATTGTCTCAAAGCTTATTCAAAGTTTTTTTCTGTGCTGTTACGAAACGTAAATATGAGGTTAACAAGTCATGTTGTATTTATTCGTTTATGATCCGCTATTACATTTTGTCTGATACCATCATAAAGGATAACAATATGCATTTCAGTCCTTAGAAATAATCATAAGATCATTTTGAAACCTGAGACCAACCAAAATGCGCGGTGCATGTGATAATTTGTTCGCCTGACGAAATCAAAAATGTAATTTTGCTCTTAAAGGTCGGCGCTTCAACTTCAGCGCCAATCGTCGTCTGAAACGTCTAGGATACGGCCTTTTACATCAATCTCCTCTACTGCCTCATATATTCAAACGTTGACCCGGAGACGTCCAGAACCTCGGTACTTTTGCTGCAGTTTTTGGTAGATGTGATGAAAAAGTTCCTGTTAGGAGAGGAAAATATTTTTATAAAGTCAAAAATATCAGATATCTGTGTTATATATCAAAATCCTACTTCATTTTATAAGTACAGCTAGATTCTCTGTCATATGCCAAATAACACTAGAGAAAGAAACGGCTCCTTATTTATATTGTGAATATATGTGAAGAAATCATAGTTTCAAAGACACTGTTAAATTACAGTAAATAATATTAAAGTTAGCTGAATTGAATTATTATTTGAAAACTACATATCATAATGGAATAACATTGTCAAGAAATGTAAGTTAAATAGTAAAGAAAAAAGAATGTCTGGTCATATTGCGAATCCTTTGGATATTATAATCAAAAACATATTGTAATTATAGCGGTTTGTCTTTTGTACTATTTTCGCGGGTTGTGATTTACGATTTGTCCTGTTGTCTAAAAAAGTGGGTTGATACATAATAACCATAAAGTCTGCGAATCATCATTTATTATCTAGCTGAATAAAAATAATTTTTAATTTCGCCCAACTACTAATTCAACCCTGACCTTACCTAGAGTGTGGGTACACTGTGGGAATATTATGTTTCTGTGACGATTCTGAAAAAAGATGAAAAAGAAACAATGGATAACAAGTGAATCGATTTGTATTTTAATAAAATAATGTCTATGTATACATTTATACATGGCTCTCCAATTAATATATATAGAGAGAGGATATGTAATAAAATAATGTTTATGTAACATTTATACATGGCTCCCCAATTAATATATAGAGAGAGGATATGTAATAAAATAATGTATACATGGCTCTCCAATTAATATATATATAGAGAGGATATGTAAGGTTTTCCCGTTGAATAACATACCTATTTCACGAGTATGTCAGGATATTGATATTTTTCACGAGTGCAGGGCATGAAAGAAAATATCGTTTTATTCTTTCATACGAGAATAATATAGTAGGTTCATTGAAAAAAAAAACATTTCTATTTATTACATATTTTAAAAGAAAAACGACAACTATATCGCTGCATCAAAAACGTTTGGACATTAGTAGTATAATATTTGACCCCAGGTACCTAATGACGTCACACTTGACAACATGGCTATGCGCCATATTAAATTGGCTCCTGAACACAATTCTACTGTTTTCTGGTATTTTCTGGTAGGTTTGTTCTTTCAAACAAATTATCAATTACGTTTATATGTTAATAGCTCAGTGTACCAAAGATGTACAAACACAACTATTTAATCTTACGTCGTTTCTGCAACTGAACAGAAAATCTAATAATAAATAAAACATTATTTTGATTGGTCGATATTAACTCGATACAGTACCATAAAATGTGAGTATATATCAATTCGTATTTCTGAACTGCAGTGACGTTACAGCTTTTTATCACAATTATAATTTCTGTTATTTCACTGGTAAAAATGTCATAAAACTGTATATGTTATTGGTATACCGTCATCAGATGGTGATTACATAAATCACATATCGTCCATGGCTCTTCGTACCACCAATATTATCAATTAACAATTCTTATTATCAGAATGTGATAATTATAAAGGTTGCTCCCCTTGGTATACGGTTGTGCATGATTAGTTGAGATTGAAATGAGTAGAAATCTACAAGCCGCCTTGGATTGTTACAGTAAAAGTTTGATACAAAGTTTTATCATGAGGTCCTGGTTTTGTTTATCGCTATCAACTGGTATATATGTAAATGTTATATTTTTAGATTAATTAAGAGAACAAGATGGCTGCCATATGGCATTGGTGAATTTTAGGTATGATTGCAAGAGCTGTATATCTGGTAGGTGACTATCCTAGATATATATACAGCTATTTATTTGATATGAGTACATAAGACGGTTAAAAGTTGATGTTATGCATTTGATAGACATCCCACTTATATGCACTTCATTGTGCCCACCCATAACCCCGACCTCCCCCCATCCCCATCCCCTCCACACACATACATACTACACCGATTACACACCAACATACACACAATCCTTATTGTTTATATAGTGAGTTAGTGGATGTAGGCGTATGAGTAAGGTTTTCTCTGTAATTGTATAAAGTATACACTCTATGACTCATCCTGAAAAATGTCATAGACAAGCACGGCTTCATTCGACACACAAATTTATAAGTTAAGCCCACTTAGCTATCTCTGTCGTCCCAGTATACGTACTCGTGCACATGTTTACTATTCACAAGTGACAAGTGGCCAATTGACTCTGTAATCTAGCATCGACAAATGATACATATACTATTGGTGTTTTCCATTTCGGAACAGGGAAACTGATACATTCATTTTCATTTCCTTAGGTTGAAATATAAATGTATGTATAATGTTTTATTCATTTAGACAATGCCGGTACTAAAACAGTAGTTTTGTTTCTGTGTATGTTCGTGACACAATCTGGCTGAACTGGTCATTGCTATATTACTTCATACTAACCTTTATCCACATTTCATTCCTTCATATATTCGTATTAGTAACTGATCACTTTTCATTTTCCTATATGAAGTTTTACTCGTATTAAAATATATGCTGACCACAATGATGAAACGATCATGATGAAGTGGATGATGACAGGTGTCAGGGAGTATGAAGATGACAAAACTTGTTTGTATATGAGTATTGTACCTTTTATATAAAAAAAGAGCTACAGATAAATAAAAATGATACAACTAATTAAAACAAATAAACCCATTTTTCTCATTTACTCGCAAAGTGAGTTTCAGAAGGAGGGGTAATGAAAACAATGATATATAATTATTATTTGTAGGGTTCCTTAAGCCATAGTCACCTGGAAAACAAATTGAATCCTTCCAGATGAAACAGAGCACACGTAAGAAACACGCACGTGTTTGTGCGTGCAGTTGCCATCACGGTTGTAAATGTGTGAGAGAAGAATCTAATGATACTTTGAGTATGTTGACCTTATGTCAGTCTAGGGGTAATTAACTTGAATATTTGCAGATCATAACAATGTGTTTTCAGGATTTGTCGTGAGAAGAATTTTCTCATCGCGAGCACGTGAATTACATCGAGAGGCCATCGCAAAAATGAGCCTCAAAACGATGTAGAAACAATCATATCGTTATCTGCTTTTCCATATATTATGCACATTTACGATTAAAATGGTGCTGTTATCCCCACGGTTGTTTTTCGTAACTTTAAATTGGTCCGTTTAAGGCGTTTATTACGCGGACCACCTCTGTGTGATTACTATTTCCGGTTTAGGACGTCACCTGGCACATACAGACGTTCTTTTATCTTAAGAAAATACGTTTCCAAATGCTTGGAATTGGGAAAATTTGTTATGATAGTGAACTTATTACGCTACCGGTAGGTGCTATAAAGTAGTACTGTATATAGATGATGAAAGATGTTTTCATTTTTTCTACATCCTTTTTGGTTGAATTATAATCTGCGATCGTTTGTGTTATTCACCTGGTGCTTCTATTTTTAGAAACATCAGGTACATATTACCTTTACCACGTAATCCCAATTGTAACGTCAACATGCTCTGTGTAAAATGAATAAAATGAAGAACTTTATCTGGACAATTTGCTTTCGCTGCGATGATAAAAGCTTTATAATTGCATATCTAATATATAATGGACTTTTATTTCGGTGAATGTGTGGTTGCATGGACCAGAAAAGGTATATTAACCTCGATTTCGACTCGGTCAATATTGCTTTCTCGGGTTCATATGACCACATATGCTCCTCGACAAAAGTCAAATAATCGATAAATAGTAGATATACTTACTCCGCTTCCTCAGCACGATCAATACGAGAAGCACTGCAATACAACAGAAAATCAAGCTTGCCACTATCACCAGACCAATGATCGCCTCTTCATTCACGGAGATATCGTCAGCTGTAACAACAAGCAGAGTGAAAATAAGTCAGAATGGCGAACAAGCAACAATGAGGGGGAACGTAATCATTAAACTTTACATGTACCAATGATATATACGGTTTACGGATGTTCGAGGCATTGTAAGATTGACATAATACGTGTAAATAATTTTCATATTAAATGAACGAAAGGCTTGTTATGATAAAAACAAATCATTATAAAGATATATGTTGGAATTCTAGATGCCTAGGATCGACCTGAACAGAACTAAAACTTATAGTGATTTCAAACAACCTAATCTGACTTGAGGCTTTTATATAACTTGATTCGAAAATTGTTTGAATGTTATTAAACATTAAAAAATCGTTCTTTGAATAAGTATGGTGTATAACTCAACCTGAATGTTTAACTACTGAACCTGAAAATGACTGTTCTAGAAATAGAATACATATATTGATATAAAAGTGGGTGTACTGGATAGCTGAAATCACTTAAAGTTACTATTCAGGATAGCTGAAATCACTAAAGGTTACTATTCTGGATAGCTGAAATCACTTAAAGTTACTATTCAGAATAGCTAAAAACACTTTAGTTTTAAATATCGATAGCTGAAATCACTTAAGGTTTCTATTCTGGATAGCTGAAATCACTTAAGGTTACTATTCTGGATAGCTGAAATCACTTAAGGTTACTGTTCTGGATAGCTGAAAACACTTTAGCTTTAAATATCGATAGCTGAAATCACTTTAAGGTTACTATTCTGGATAGCTGAAATCACTTAAGGTTACTGTTCTGGATAGCTGAAATCACTTAAGGTTACTATAATGGATAGCTGAAATCACTTAACGTTCCTATTCAGGATAGCTGTAATCACTTAAGGTTTCTATTCTGGATAGCTGAAATCACTTAAGGTTACTATTCTGGATAGCTGAAATCACTTAAGGTTACTATTCTGGATAGCTGAAATCACTTAAGGTTACTATTCTGGATAGCTGAAATCACTTAAGGTTTCTATTCTGGATAGCTGAAATCACTTAAGGTTACTATTCTGGATAGCTGAAATCACTTAAGGTTACTATTCTGGATAGCTGAAATCACTTAAGGTTTCTATTCTGGATAGCTGAAATCACTTAAGGTTACTATTCTGGATAGCTGAAATCACTTAAGGTTACTATTCTGGATAGCTGAAATCACTTAAGGTTTCTATTCTGGATAGCTGAAATCACTTAAGGTTACTATTCTGGATAGCTGAAATCACTTAAGGTTACTATTCTGGATAGCTGAAATCACTTAAGGTTCCTATTCTGGATAGCTGTAATCACTTAAGGTTTCTATTCTGGATAGCTGAAATCACTTAAGGTTACTATTCTGGATAGCTGAAATCACTTAAGGTTCCTATTCAGGATATCTGTAATCACTTAAGGTTTCTATTCTGGATAGCTGAAATCACTTAAGGTTACTATTCTGGATAGCTGAAATCACTTAAGGTTACTATTCTGGATAGCTGTAATCACTTAAGGTTCCTATTCTGGATAGCTGAAATCACTTAAGGTTTCTATTCTGGATAGCTGAAATCACTTAAGGTTACTATTCATGATAGCTGAAATCACTTTAGCTAACTACTCTGGATAGCTGAAATCACCTTGGGTTTCTTAGATACACTTATATTACATTTCAGCTAATTCATGTATACATTTGTTCATTTTTTTCTGATATAAACCTTCAGAGTAAGACATTTAAATCTTACGATACATGGTGTCCACAGAGTAGTGGACATACTGCTCTAAAAGTTCGACATTTGAACGGTATGAATTCTACTTACATCCACTGGGATAATTGTTCTTCTCGTTGATACCTTGGTCCTTGTTGACTTGTGTTGTCTGGTTGATATAAAAATCGTCATCTGTTTGTGACGTAATGGTGGTTGCAATGACGTCATCTATATCATTATCGTCATTTAAGATTTTAATTGTTGTTGTCGATATCTGTCTGACTATAGTGGTTGTGTCCTCGCCAGAACCATCTCCAGAATATCCAGGGAAAATTTCATCCGAGACGTGTTTTGTTGAACTGTATTAATCAACAGAAAAGGGGAACTTGTAAAAAACAACTTACCTAATGAATCTACGATGAATATCACTTATGGAGGAACCCAGGATGCAGCCCAACATGTTTCCAACAGTCTTTAAAAATAGCATCCCAATGTTTTAATGAATGAACGAGAAACTTAATGCCATTGAGTGCGGAACATATACACATCGTCGTCTTCTCCAAAGTATTTGACTCCAGAAACAAGATTCTTTAGAAGGGTGGTTTCCGATATATTTGTTTCTTCAGCGTCGTTTAGGTTACAAAACTGTTTAACATTTTATTTGGAGATTTACAGAGAGTTTTGGTGAGAGATAAAAACTGTCGAAACGATAGAGACAGAAGCAGTCTTTAAGTTGATATATTTGTAACTGTGAATGTGATAAAGTATTCGAGTATTATTCCTGTAGGAGAAAAGATGGGAGAAAACTAATAGACCGAAATATGTGTCCTACATGACTGAAGATTTTTCAAGTGATTTCAGTTAGGTAAGTTAGGTAAGTTAGGTAAGTTACTCAATTAAAAAAAAGGTAAAAAGTAGAAATATAAGACTTACGCTTATATATAGTGTATATTAATACAGTCAATCAGTACGTTATTAATTAAATGTCAATATGTATGAATATTCCAAATTCATGTTTATATGTGTCATTGTTTAACATTTAATATATATTTTTGTTTATATATGTACAAATTAATGTATACAATATAATTTTATAAGAGTATTTTAAATCTATACTACAGTGTAAGCCGTATAAGACAAGGCTACCAGTTTCGGCTTTAAAATGTGTAAAATATGATTAAAATGATGAGATATATCAGCAAAGCGAATATTCTTACCACTGACACACAAGGACGAGAAAATTCACAACAACCACGTAGCCTTTCATCCTCATTCAAGTCTGGAACAGAAATAATACCAGCAAGAAATACTGGCCACACGATATCCACCATTAGATAATCACGCACGCGCAGAATAATTTTTGTAGCGCAATATTTTTATAAGTATATGTGGCCCTCACACGAAGTCCGGAAATCATACAACGTCATAGCCGGAAGTTGAAGCGTGATGTACATGGGAAAATTTAAAACTTACATTGTGTTGAAACATGTATATAACAGGTTCAAGTACAACCGCAGAGAAATAATAAACTCTTTGTATATTATAGACTCGAATTAATGAATGACGTATCAGAACTCTTGTATTTTCCTAGGTTACAGAGTGCGTCGTTAATATATTTGGTCTCAGAAATTCGAATCATACTTTCATACATCAATTTTGTTTCATTTTCTACTAAAATATTAAGTAGCTACATTAATACGGTTAGATTTTTTTAATGAAACACGGTACCTGTATGTTGTCCCTAAATTTCAACGATAAAAGTTCACAAAATTATACCGAATAATGAGCAACTCTAAACTTAGAATGTTTGGGATTATCGCCAGCAGAGGAAAACAAGGGTGGGCTCCACCTCTCAGCCAGGCTACGCTTCAGCTTTTACCTGTCCGCACTGCAACAGACTATTCAAAGCAAGATGGACTGATCACCCACACCTCCACCCAGTGATAGCCGTTCGTGGTCATCCTCGCCAGCGAGGGACGAACTATGATCAGCGAGGAACAAACATTATCATACTGTATGGGATTTTTTGTCAAATGTCGGTTTTTTACGTATTTTGTAATTGGTGTTTGTAAATAATCTAGAGACACAAAGTGTGCATTGCACTGATCGTCTATTTCAAGGAAAAGAAATGTACATGTTAACATATTGTGAAGTTTTACTTTCATTGGTACCACCCCCTGTATGTTTCTTACACTTCCACACTAACGTCAGTTCTGTTTATAAACCTTTGCGGGTTCGAGAAAATAACAGGCCTGGTGTATCCATATGCATGGTCGTAAGAGGCGACAAATGTGTCCCCGGCCCCCGTCCTCCCCCCGTCCCTCCGTCCTCNTCAGTACCTTCTCTATCATACTACATGTATTTTGGAAAAGGTGACTAATAATCGAGGGTTTTCGTATGTGTCTTCTACGAAGGGAACTCTGAAGAAACCACAATCGATCTGCTGCCCCATTGCAAAGTTGGGATCTTCTTCGTTTTCTTTCATTCCTTTTTATCGTCTTTCTGTTTCAGGCGGAGTCTCTCTAAGCATCCATCTTCGTATGACCCTGGCTGTTGTCTCTCTAAGCATCCATCTTCGTATGACCCTGGCTGTTGTCTCTCTAAGCATCCATCTTCGTATGACCCTGGCTGTTGCAAAGACATTAAACTCCAAACAAACTTCAGTTTGTGTTCAGCTTTCACACGGTTCCGAGCTCCTTGTGTCGTCACTGTACACATGATGAGCCCTTAATGAACAAAATCACCATTTTGGTCAGCAGAATGTTTACTTTATTTGGCTCCATGCATCTACACATACGTACATGTCAAGTACATATTTCACGGTGAGCGACACGCACTTATATTTCATCCAGAAATTGTATAACAAAAACATTTGATATAAATCAAACTTTCTTCAATCAATTTTTATTCAGCACAATAGAACAATATATTCAACGAAGTCATACTTTAGATAGCTATTACTTAAATGTATGCAACCAAAACAATTCACCCTTCCACATCGTTGTTAGCAACGCGGTTGCTATACAAATTCAGCCAATCAGCGCACGAGCTCGATTGTCGGCCATTACCTCCGACAACTTTGTAACCAAAACAATTGTAGAGTAGAACCCTTCTATTTATGGGGAGAGGATATTCCATGATTTCCAATGGAATGTTAATGGAATGTTATAACCATTATAGGAGAATGACAGGTCTTCTGAAACATTTATCAGCGAAACATGTATATGATATCCCACGGATTCTATTACATTTCCAAAACCAACAATGCAATGACACAAAATTAGGATGTCTCCTGACATTACAAAGGATATCAAAATCACATGTACATGTCGCCATTGAAGTGTGATATCACATTTACTGATATGACAACAAAACACAGATTGATCTTATTATCTCGCTAAAAATATGATAAATAACAACCTTTTTCGCAAAGAGAGACATCGATCATCGAATCAAATATACTATGTAATTTGTTTTTTTTCGAGAGTAAAGGAATTCGTCGTATTTCACGCATGATTATTTTGTTGGGATTGTTTCAAAACTTTTGGGAAATGATAAAAACATACAAAAAATGAGCCAAAGTGTCAGGCAGGCGCTTGGGAAGACTAATGTGAAAGCTGATGTCAATCATTTCACTATTTGTTTTTGTCAAATGATGGATAAAAATAATGAAAATACATAAAATCAATCAAGTTAACTACAAGTAACAAACAACAATAAGCAAAGCAAATAAAAGCAGAAAAATACTCGCAATATGTATAACGTATTGGTCATTCGCAAAATTAAAGAAAAAATTGGGAAAATCAAGCAACAACCACCTAAATCGTGTTGTTAATTATAAACCAAAAGATATTAAAACAAGAAAGATATAAAGGGGTCTGTAAAAGTTAATATGCATAGGCCGTTTGTTACAGAAATAAGAAATATTATTTTTCCATTGGTTTACAGTGATAGCGATTTAAAAAAAAAAACGGATTCAGTTTGTGAACCAAATGAGTTCACATGAATGTGAACGGTGTTTACATTTAGATAAACATTGGTCGAATAATTCAATGTAAATTAAAAAATAACCTTGATGCTTTTAAGGCAATTAGGAATTGATTTACCAGGACGACATACATTATCGTGGTAATGGTAAAACATTTATATAGTTGTAAAAGAAGCAAATATGAACAACCGAACAAACACAGTAGCATTTTCTATGAACATTTACAGAATACAAAAACAAAAACAAAATAGGTTGATGCTGACAGTGCGGTGATCCGTTAACTCATTCACCCCTGAAATTTCTTAATGAAATATTCCAACCTTTGATCTGGAAGAGTTCAAAATTGTCTTCAGGGGTGAATGAGTTAATCGATGGTCTGTTGTGGGATCCTACAAATAATTAGTCGAGCGCTCCACCAACCAAACAAAGCGGGAATTGTCCACTTGCCAAGCCAGAAACAAGCGACTAGGTGGTTCATAACGGTGACAAAACCACTACCTGTGTCGATTGGAGAGCGACAAAACAATACACAATGGTGGATACACATAGTATTCGCTCATGCATTCAGACAATAGACGAGGTTTCCGGGTTTTATTTCATCTCCCGTTGCCCGTAATCAAGTATTTACAGAAATTAACAAAGCAAATTTAACGAATGGAAAATTTGACATATTGACATATTATAATGTTTCATAACTGACATAACGTTCATGTTTATTAACATGTAATCATAATGAGAAATTTGTTTTATTTAATTTCATTTCGTAGAGCATTTTCAGTGGTCACTATATGGACTCGCAAACTTTATATCAACCATTAAAAACGACTTCATAATGCTATGTGACGTCACACCTTACATCTTCGGACATTGAGACGTTATGCTTCATTGTTTTTCTTCCATTAGACAACTTAAATGTGTGTTAAAAATGCCTCTCCGGTGCAAATATGACTTCTACAATATAGATATTGATCGTTTTCCCCTAATGATTTAGATTTTAAAATTTGCAATTTATCAACTATACGTTTTTCATTTACAATAATCTATATGCCAATGAATTAAAAACAGCTCCCTCAGTCTGTTGATGCTTTACAGCACTGGTCAAAGGGTGTTGTAAGTCTAGTGTTAGGAGGCACGGTAATCTAGTGGTAGAAGGCCGGGCTCGTGACCGAAGGGTTGCGGGTTCGAGTCAAATCACGGCACTGTGTTGTATCTTTGAGCAAGATACTTTACTCCGCTTGTTCCAGTCTACTCAGCTGTAAATGAGTATGTGGTTGTGCAGTGCTAGAATTGTAGAATGCTAGCTGTGAGCGCCGAAATGGCAGCACCGGCTGTATGCTCCCCAGGGAGTTGTCAAGATATTGGCTGGTTGCAAAGACCTTATAAATACGGATAATAATTTGTGAACCACTTTGAGACGACCTACCAACTAGGTTGTCATAAAGCGGTATATAAGAACCTCGAATTATCATTATTATAGTGTTGAAGTCTTTGTATGTATACTATGACCTCACTACAGATACGGGACATTTATATAGGAGATATATACTGTGAAACCGCTAATTTTCATTGGTTTTAATTTCGTTGATTGTGTGGATAATCTTCATCCACGAATTCAATCTCCATTAAGAGAATACAATGTATATGAAATATTTCTTCGTTTCAATGGTTGCCCGTAATCCACGAACTCATTGTCCCACGAAATGTTGATTTGTCGGGAAACAAAGAAATGTGGGCCCTACGAATGATTTGGTAAGGTGCAAATGTGACTTCAGGGGTGAATGGGTAAAGTACTGCCCTATGAAGAAGGTTATATCGTTACGCATGTTTATTTTTTGCCTTTGCAGGTAACATGTAACGGATTCGGTTTTTATAAATATATAGGTGCTATACATGTAAATATATTTATAAATCTATAGGTGCTACACATGTATTTATATTTATAAATCTATAGGTGTTATACATGTATATATATTTATAAATATATAGGTGCTACACATGTATATATATTTATAAATAAATAAAAACAGACATCAGATAGTTTCCAAACCCTATTTTTAGCCTTAAACAGTTGAACGTTCATCAAGCTCATTTGAGGCATTTCCTTCCGGCTTTTCATATATATTTTTTTATTTGTTTACCTCAATACGCCTACCATTGATGGCCGATATCATGACAGCACTACATGCATTGAAATCAGGGTTACGGTAATGGTTGAATGCTTCGAAAATATGAATTCGTACATCCTTTGTAGGAAACATATAGAGCGTTATACAAATATGTATGTATTACCAAGCCTTAAAGAACATACAATAGTTGATTTAAGAAATTGACGAAATTAAATTAAAGAAGCATTGACGCAAACAGAAGAGTTTTGAGGTGAT